TTTTGCATTTACTGCTTCTTTACTATATTTTATTTTAAAATTTAGATAAAGATCCATTTGATCCTTTTGGCCTTTCAAAAACAAATGCCAACTCTGCTGTTGTGGTACGTATATGCTGTGCAATTTAATTTTTAATAATTTATTGTACTAAGACATAGCTTTTTTATCTTTGAATTTATTATTTATTTCTGTCTCCAATGAGCTTACAGTACTTATTTAATTGTATAAAGCATTCATATGGCAGAATATTTTTTCTGTGTTGCTCATTTTATATTTCAGATTTTATAAGTTTTTCATTTTAATTCATTTGATTTAACCATTTTGTTTCTTTTTCACTTTCATGTTTGTAAACTACGTAAATTAAAAATAGTGTGTAATTTTTTGTATATTTTGCCTATTCTTAATTCATTGAATGTATTTACAGGGTTTTGATGCTGACCCATTTGGTGCTGATCCTTTTGGACCTGTAGCACCACCTAGGCCAGAGAGCCCAACACCTGCATTACCACCTAAAAAGAGTAAGGCACCTCCTCCTAGACCCGCACCTCCTAAAGTTGGAACAGCCCCTTCAAAACCAGGACCAACACGGGCAGCACCTGCCCCACCCATACCTGCTGCAGTTGACCCTTTCAAGCCAGCAGATTTAGAGAATTCCAGCAATAATGCAGCCTTCCCAGATTTATTTTCCAAACCAGCTAAGACTCAAGATGCATTTGACCCTTTCTCTAATGCAACCACAGCATCAGACAACTTTGCTAACTTTGATAATTTCGCTGATTTTGACAACGTCAAGTGAAAGTGTTTGCTGCTATCTGTAGTCATATAAACTATGTATATTTTTAATTTTAGGGTCAACACTTCAGAAAATAAGACTGTATGTCATATAGTTGTAAGTAACTAGAGGCTAAGATTCATGCAAAAATCTTTAAACTAGTTGGAATAAACTTTTGCTTTTTCTTCATACATTTCTTCTTTCATATAAAAGAATGTGAAAAGTTTTCATTAATTTTTTCTTTTAAGTTAAAAATGAAATTGCTTGTAATATGCATACAAATTTTATGTATATATGTATTATGATATTAATCATTTAAGGTGCTGTCAATAAGCAGTGGTGCCTTTGCATATTTAAAGCTAAATTTCATATCTCATGAAATTTAAATATGAATATATAAAAATGAATGAAACATTATTATGTAATATGAATGAAATATGAATTTTAAAACATTTTTATTATTTATTTCATCATAAAACTTAAAAAGTGCATATTTAGAAAGATATATATATGACAACATATTTGCACAGTAAGTATTTGAGCACAAAAGAGTGAAATTATTTGTGTAATTCCAACATTGTTCTTGAAGATAGTCAAAACTCTAAAATCATCAGTAGTATTAGTTGTAAGGTTAAAGAAATTATGTGAGTATTATTTAGGACTACAGAAGTTTTAAAATTTTGTTCTTAATCTCGAAAACTTCTGCTAAATTTAATTTTCAGTCAATGTAGCGGCTAAAATAACATCCCTTTTGTGTTTACAAGAAAAGTATTTTTAGTACAAGTATTTAAAAATTGATGTACAAAAACATTGGGAGTTGATCTATTCTAAATTTATAAATAAAAAATTTGTTTAATGTCTTTACTCTAAAAAATGCATTATTTTTTTATGAACATCCCATAATCTGCTCTTTTAGCTTTTTTTATTTATAAACGCAAAACATGCATAGTCTTCAGCCTATGTAATAGTATTTTGCGAACTTATCCCCCCCCCCGTTTTATTTTACTTTTGTATGTATAAATTACTTTATTTATCTTCATGGGCTTTCACTTTTAACATCCAATGTAATGTATTTATTATTTTTTAGTTATGAAAATGCATTGACAAATGAGGGGGGGGAGAATGACTGTTTTGACATTTTGAGAAACTTCTAGTTTTTAATGATACTCTGTTCTTTTGGTTCTTATGAAATAAATGGGAAGGGCCTGCATTGAGCTCTTTCGATACTTATTTATGGAAGAAAACTAGTTTCAAGACAAAATTTCTGCATTCAGAATTGTAAAAAAAAATTGCTTAACATATTCGCTGTTGATCACGCCCTGGCACATGATTACTGTTATTGCTGAAAAGCCAATCGCGCTGTGGTGCATAGTGTAGGGTCTCAGGTACCAGTCACAGGCTGGCACAAGAAAAGCAATGTTTCATTGTTTATTTTCAAGTTCAATCAACATTGTATTTTGAAATGTATGCTGGTATTGCCGTGGTGTGAAGGTTAGAAACTAGTTCTAAATGCATGTGGTTTGGAATGAAGACAAAGTTTCATTTCATGCAAAGATCATACACAAATAACATTCTGAAATATATATTTTGCAATAATATTATAACTATCTTATAATAATAAATTAATTTATAATGTATATATTTAATAGCAGTATAGTTTCATACAAAGAGAATGTATATTGTTATTTATTTTGATTCATTTTTAAATGCAACACCCCAGTGCGTAATGCGGCATTGCAGCTAGAGATCAGGTACTGATGTATAGTCATAAAATTCATAATATTCTATTCTTAAAGCAATCAATGTGGTACACATAATGATCTTTTATTACCTGTTTTTAAATCATGTTTCTTATAATAAGCAAGTCGACAGACATATGGGTAAAATCTATTTCTGTGACACAGAATTAACTATCAACATGACTTTACATGACCAGCAGCGAATATGTTAAGTGTATAATTTTGTTATATTAAAGTGTTTGATTAAGAAAACTTTGTGTGCTTAGTGCAGCATTCTTTCAAAGCCCCCAGTACATGCTTTCCTTATGTTTATGAAACCCAAAAAAAAAAAAAAAAGGAGGAGGGGTTATTCTGAATTATAAGTTGATTTGGGAAGTCTCTTATTATATGAGATCCTAGCAGTACCCAAGCCCTGCATATCATGCATAGGAAAAAAGTTCATTGTTCGCAAAACAAAACAAAATCAAAAAAAAAGAAGGGGGGAGAACAAAAAGGTCCCACCTCCAATTAAACACAAAGCTTTTAACCTGATTATGTAGTTAGTTTAAAGGATTTTTTTAATAAATAATTAACAGTAAGATTAATCTTTAACTGCTTGCATATAATTAATTGTAAATAATTATAATAATATATTTAGGTATGCATAACAAGTGTATAAATATTTATATCTTAAAAATTTTTCCAACTAAGTTTATTGATGTTTGCATCAGTTATGTGTTTAATCTTTGAAGATTAGTAGTATGAATGATGTGTGTGACATAACTCTTTGACCTATGTAAATATTTGTTGCTTGTGAATGTATTGTTTGTTTATCTATAATGTGAAATAAGATAGTTCTATTAGAATCTCATAGGAACTAAAGTTAATGTGATTCCCTTCTCTGTGAAATATACAACTTTGCAAAAAATGAAGTTAATTTTCTTTGAATACTTTTTTGTATAAAAAGCAGATTCAGATTTTTTTAATATGAGAATTTCATCTCGTACTTTTAACAACTAGCACTAAAAAAATTTACTGTTGACTTTATTGTAAATGCCATTATGTATTTATTCTAAGGAATATTATCTAATGACAGCAAAGCTAAAGTGTATGAAGTACGTCTGTCCTCAGATTGCAAAAGCTTATGCTGTTTGATGTAAATTTACTTTTATTTTTCATTTTTATAAAAAAAAATTTTTGAAACTTACTTAAATATGTATTTTTCTGTGTGGAAGTTATGGTAAAATCAAAAACTTTAAAGTATAAAGCTATTTAAAATTTGTTAAAGGTGTTTGCCTTTTTTTATATATAATTGTAGGTATTGAAGAGAAAAATAAAGAATTAACATTTTTAATTGCTAATGCATAATTGTGGATTTTCATGCATAATATGGGATGGCTATGAAAACATCAGTTTGAGCAATATTTTACAAATTTAGCTGTTGCATATATAAAACATATATTTCAAGTATTACAGGTCTTTTCTTTATCAAACACTAAACAGCATATTTGTAAGCTTTTTCTTGTGATGATTATTCCAGGTTGATAAATTTTGCAAGCTAAGTCCTTAATTATTTATCATTGTTGTGGCATTACTGAAGGTATGTTACAAGGTATATATATTGTAATAAACGAGAAGAAATTCCAAATCTATTAAGAATCCTGTATATGAAATGCAAACTTATTAGAAATGTGTTATAAGTTAAAGAATAATTGTTCTGAAATGGTAGTTGGTGTTGAATATATTGGTTCATACGTTTCACATAAAGGTTATCTATCACTTTATAATTTTCATATAAGTCTATGAAGTGTGAAGATCTGTCACTTGAGAGCTTTATTTCTTTTATTTTTTAGGCTAGTAATGCACTCATATTTCTTTATTATTGCATGGAGGCAGTATATCCATTATTTATATTACTACAGTAAAACAATTTTTATGCTAGTAATTGAAATAAAGTAAAACATTTAATCTATGTAGTAAAAATTTATATCAAATTTTAAGTGCCTGCATCTTTTCACATTTATTTTGATTGTAAAGGGGGAAAAAATTCCCCATGCAATAGGAAAGGGGCAGTTTACCCTGACCCTATCCTCTATTTAAGAAATATAATTGTTTCTTGCTATTAATCATTTTGAATATATCTTGAATTTACTTCCTTTATTCCATTTCAGATTGTAAATTAAATTTAAAATATATATTGCATAAATTTATTAGAATTTGTAATAAACTAACTTTTTAGGTACAGTTTTAAAGTTTCTTTTGATTGTTATATATTTGCATGCATTTTATGCATGCATAAAGTTATGAACTTCTTTTTCTTCTGTTGCTTTCATATACTTTTATAGTAAGTATATTTAAAACATACATTAACTCGCATTCTGTTAGTTTTAAATTATTTGATTTGCCTGGGGTGTTACTTATATTCATTGTCATTTTTGTAGTTTCTAATAATGTATAAATTTTCAAGTATTATTTTGCTTTTTGACTCCATTTTCTGCATAATGCATTTCTTTTCTTCTGTTTTTTTTAATTGACTATTAAATTAGTAATTATTTTACATATAAATACACTAACTACAATAATGGAGTATGTATGAATTTATTAAATATATTTCTGAATATAAACATATTTTGTTCATATAAGCATACACTATCTAGTATTTCTTTAATTTAATTAATTGTTTTTAATGGTTAAGTGAATAATAATGCAGGTTTATATGTTGTGAATATCTGTTCCCGTTTTAATAATAATTTCAGAACTAATTAATCAGTTATAAACTGGTGACATTATGATGTAATGTGCATTCATTTTATTTTATCATATCGAGAATGTTGAGAAATACATTTTTCTTGAATTTCTTAATGCCTGGGAAATATAATAATACATATGTGTTGGCTGCTAATTAGAACAGCATCTGTTTTTATATCACTGCCGTATAGTTGTAGTTAATATTTAGATTGTTTTTTATACTAGCTATCTTCTGAAGCATAATAAATTGGTATACTTTTTGTCCACAGATTAAAATTATAACATAGTTAAGATTATTAGCCGGAAATGTATTTTTTTATGGAAATATAAAAGCATATTTTATTTGAGTTACCTACTTTAAGCTAGTTGATTATTTACCAGGCATTAAATGATAATCATTTAACATTGTTGCATTTACAAATCTTAGTGTTTATTTAATATTTGGATGAATATTATTTATGGAAGGTTACAAGAAAAATTACATATTGCTTTTATTAAATGAGAAAAATTCTTATTGTCTTTTAAATTTCCTACAGAGTTTATTGAAAACTAATTATGAATATATATAATGTAAAATGATCTCTAATGTGTTGTGTTTTTCTCTGCTCAGCATACAACATTCAGAACTTTTTACGCTTCCATAAATAACTGGCTGTATTTGTTGTTTCTGTGTTTTACATTGAAATCATTTCATAATCAATGTTTTTTCTAGTCTCAACTCTCATAAAGTTTATTTTATAATTTTATTTCCATAAAGTTGCTACTCTTCATATGCCTTGTAGTAACTTCTTGGAAATTTTTTGTGTGTATACTTAAAGCTGTAAACATATGCTGAGACTCAGTGAAAAATTGTTGAAAATATAAATTAATTTTTCCCAATAAATTTTAATAAAAAGATTTGTAGTTTCATTTCTATATTTGTTAACTGGTTTTATTTTAATATGTAAATGTATGCAATTATTTTAAGTAATCCAAAGAATAAAATAATCAAATTGTGATCATTGAGATTTTTTGTTTCAAAGTAAACTTTTTTTAAGCTTTAATATAATATATTTCTTTATATCTGTGCAAAAAGTTTCTTTTTTTCATTAAAAAAATATACTGACATTTTATTGTGGAAGTTTTTGAAATGATAGACGCATATGTTAATGAAATTAATTGCAAGGCATGAGCAACAAAGGGATGCAAATGAGCAACAGCTGCAATGCAAAACTTGAACTAACAGATTTAGAGGATCATAAATATATAGTGGATAACACTTAATATGATCACAGTCAATGTTATCATTCAGCTGTTGTTACCGAATTGCCGAGGTCTAATCCGTTTGTATCACTTGTTGTGATTAACAGTTCTATTAAGAGGACAAATAAGTTCAAAATAGACTGTAAAAATTAGCAAGTGACATAGAAATGTCGCCAAGTAAGGTATTAAGTTGCTAAACGACTTGCTTTCGATTTTAGTCAACCGTTTAAAATTAAGAAAGAAGAAAAACAAAGCTTGATGTAGGTTTTCAATTTCAATAATTGAATTTGGGAGCATTCAGACAGAGGTCATTGTTCTTGAAGAATAAAAAATATTCCCTGAAAACATCCTTGCCGAACTGAGATTTCTTTTTTTGTGTGGTTTTTAAATTTTACATTGGCATGTCCTCTTCGAATTAGGGATGGCCTTCGAGTATTAAGATTAAGGGTACAAAAATCAGTCAAATAATAACACTATAAACTATTCACAAATGAACTTTTGCATTCAAGACATTATGAACAATTTATTAAAAAACAACTTTTGCAACTTCCTAACTGTGAAAGCACTAATTTATGTTTTTAGTTATTGTTCTTTTGAAGGACTGCTATTCTCATCATTTAATGTTATGAAAATAGCTTGTGAACATGAATGTTCAAAGATAGGCAGTGAGATGAAAGCAGTGACAGAGTTGCCAACTCTTCCAATTTAGACTTGAGATACCTGATTTTCAACCATTTTCCGGCCAACCCGATTTATAAAATATTTCTCTCGACTTTCTCTTATTTTAAAAATTTTCCCGACATGTTTTGCTTTGCTTAATACTTGCACCAAAAAAAGTAATTTGGGCCATCTGAAAGCACTTGGTTTTTTTTTTCTAGATTACATAAAAACCAAAGTTGTTTCACCAGTGAGATATTGTAGTGCGCTTTGTGAGTGAGAGCCCATGAGTCAGAAATCATTGTGTTCCAGTTCTTAACCGAGCATTGAATGCCACTGCGTGTCATCTGGTATATATCAGCCATTAAGTATGATTGTGGTTGTTATTTCATAGTAGCGTCTAGCCCTAGCATGGTTTATGCTTCGCGCTTGCGCAATAGGCATATTTTCAGCATGGTTACCTTCCTAGCTTGGCCAAAGAACATCTATATATGTTTGGCTTGGCGATAAATTCACAATTCAGACTTCAACGATGCGTAAGTGAAATGCTGCGGAATGTGTGAAATTTGTTCACATTGTGCCCAATTATGCGAGCAATTATTTACTGGGGACTTAAAAGCATACGGGGTGAGCTTTGTGCCCAAATATACGAGAATTTATTTACTACTGACTTGAAAAAGCGTATGAGGAAATAGACTTAATTCTTTTTTTCACTTGCATTGAAGTTTATAAACTGTTTAAATTAATGCTTCAGGTTTTTGTAGCATGCAATAATCAATTAACTTAACCAAATTTTACATTTATTTCCAAATGTATTTTTTTTAAATATTTTATCTTATATTTACTGTCATCATAAAATTTCTTTTCAAATTCATGCTTTCTGCAAAGGCATGTCTCATCCTAGGAAAATAATTTTTGAGAGCTTAACATAATAAATTAATTTAACCTCATTTTACAAATTTGTCTTTTATTTCATATTTCCAGGTTTCATAAAAGTTCATTTTTTAACAGGCATTCAGCAAAATAACATACATTTGGTCCTTTCTTTTCGTATTCTTGATTACGAGGGTTTTTTCCCAAGGTCCGATTGGTCCGTAAAGGAAAGCTTCGGAAAAAATCCGCTAGTCTGTGCGCAGTGTCACTAGCTGGCCTGGGGAACATGTCGATTTGCAATTGTCATATCTGAGCACATAGGGAGCACATAAACATGCTTTGAAAAATACTCCCGCCAAATGTGAATAGCATTCAGTCATTCGATTTCTGCATGCTGAAGAAAGCAATGCAGCTGAAATTCATAGCTGAATGAGTAAAGTGTAATGAGAAACGTTCGTGTGTGACAGCTAAGTGTGTAAATGGTGCAGAAACTTTGAAGCTGGACGCACAGATGTTCATGGTGCAGGGGGCCAGGGAAGGAAGCCAGTGTCAACCGATGATCTTGTTCACCGCGTGGATCAGGTGATTCGCGGAAAACGCTGGTTCACAATTTCTGGATTGAGTGATTTGTTTCCTGAAATTTCACGGTCAGTTCTCTATATAGCATTGTGAGTGAAAGACTTGAGAACCGCAAACTCTGCGTGAGATGGGTTCCCAAGATGCTGTCTGACCATCACAAAATTTAGCGAGTGGGTGCTGCATTAACCTTCCTCCAGCACTACCATCAGGACGGAGATGAGTTTTTGGGCAAAATTGTCCCAGGACATGAGACATGGGTGCATTATGCAATTGAAGAAACAAAAGAGAGATTGAAACAGTGGATGCATTCAGAATCCCCAAGCCAGAAGTTCAAACGCACATTCTCCACCAAAAAGTGTATGGCTACAGTGTTTTGGGATCGAAAAGGCGTTCTCTGTGTGGAATTCATGCCCCGTGGCACAACCATCATTGCATGACTCTTGAACGTCTTTGAAGGGCAATTCAAAACAAGAGAAGAGAATGTTGTTGTCAGGTATTGTCCTTATTCATGACGTTGCGCGGCCGCACACTGCAGGTGAAACAAGGATCCTGCAGCGTTTTGAATGGGACATTTCTGATCACCCACCATACAGTCCTGACTTGGCTCCCTCAAATTTTCATCTCTTTGCCCACATGGAACGTTGATTAGGTTGGTTGTGTGATTATGGCAAAGCCTCGTTGGCTATCTGCCTAAGGGGAGGAATGCCTTCGTGGAGGACTTTCTAAGGGAAACTGGCTCGTATACACGTTACACATGGGGAAAACCACGAAAACGCCCATGCAGCAAGCCCGTTCGCGGAATTCGAACCTCGGACCAAACTACTAGTGTTCAGTGACTTTACAGCTCGGCCGCTGTTGGGCCCGTTGGTTAGCATTTTGCCGCAGACAACGAACTGCAGACCAGCGTACAGAATTGGCAGAAAACGTAGGTGGCTGCTTTTTATGACGAAGGTATAAGAAAATTGGTACCACGCTATGACAAATATATGAATCGGAATGCCGATTGTTCCATATAAAATTTTCTTGATTCTCACTGTGATTTTCATTTAGCGATCAATATGGCCTTGAAAAAAATTACCTACGTGCATCATAGTGGTAATCCAAAAGGTAATCGAAAATAGGTCTTCGAACATTCCAACCATACAAAATTACCTTTCATACTAATCACGCTAAATATAAGAAATCTGTAACAGCTTAACATCTTCAAGCTTCTTATTCAGGCTTAACTTCCGCAACGTGGCAAAATTTAGTGAAATAACATGTTTTTAGTTGCAAATCTCATGATACATCGCTAATTCTGTATAACGGACGCCAGCCAATAATGCTAACGAAGCTTGTCATTGCGTGAAGCATAAATCATGCTAGAGCTAGATGCTACTGTTATTTTATTTATCTTGACGCTGAGCAGTGTCAGTGCACGTGCTTGCAAAAAATAATTTAAGAAATTACGATCTTTTGTTTTAGTTACGTCTGCGAAAAATGTAAAATACTGATGTACTTTTCAAAAATCGTACACAAATGACTTTCATTCTATTTCTTCAAGGAAATGTAATTCGATTTCTCATGATGGAAGAGCCGATGTTCTCAGACATGTGCATACACAAAAACACAAGGGCAACTATTGGGAAAAGAAACGAAAAATTAAATTTTTCTGTGGAAACACAAAGAGCAAAAATGTTATTATTGCAGAATGCCTTTTTACTGGAGCAAAACCTGCGAATGATGCATCGGATCATGGCTGCAGCTTTATTTAGAAAAATCTTTCCCGATAACTAAATCGCTAAGAAATACTCAAGTGCAAGGATCAAAGCGGCTGCAGTTGTCAAAGAAATAGATATGAAAAATAAATCTTCAGGTATTGATTGCATTAAAACAGTTTCATTCTGCCTTTCTACGTATCGAAGCAGCAATAGCGGCTCAAAACTGCATCCAATTGTTGTTCCTTTTTTAATCCATTTTCAGAAATTGAGTGTAGTTTGGTTTCTATCCCCACTTTAGAAGGATATTCGATAGGCTTAATTATAACACAGCTAATTATTAAAAATTTTAAAGAAAATACAATTCCTTTGAATAATTGCTTAGCACTTTATGCTGACAATGCACCACTAATGATAGGCTTGAAGACTGGCGTTGCAAGCATCTTAAAAAAGGAAAATACAGATTTACAAATAATGAGGTGCACGTGTCACATCTTAAATTTAGCAGCTGAAGAAAGGACAGTTTCTTTAGCACTAAGTGCGGATGAATACATTTTTGATATTTATTATTGTCTTGAAAGTACAATTCTAAAGGGAAGGAAAAACTAAAACAGTTCCAACAGCTGCATAATAATAAATAAATAAAGTAAGAATATTTTTTAAACATGTATGTACGCACTGGCTATCTTTAAAGAAATGTTTATCTAGAATCTTTAACCAATGGAACCCACTTCCTGCATTTTTTGAAAAGTAAATGCTTCTGGAGTTAGGATAAAATATCTAAAGTAAATGGAGTTGTAGTTACTTCTTCCAACACAAATATGTTTGCTGCAGTCGCAGTTTAAAATAAAAAATTTGGAT